GACCTGCTTCGGATGCAGGCCGCGCCCCGTCTGTTTGCACAGCGAACTGCAATTGTAGCCGAGATTAGCGGGGCGGGGGCCGCGGCGAGGCCCCGCGGAAATCCCCGCCATCAATTCCGCGGGCGTCTCCTCGCCGCCTCCGGCAATGACACTGCAGGCCGGACAGATGGACCCGGCACGGCCCCTGGCCGGCCCGGGGGGGCCCGGGGCAGTGGGGCTGCCCTGGGCCAGACGGGCGAGGCGGAGGCGGAGGCGGAGGGGTCGGGGCGCCCCACCGCAGCGGAGTGCCAGGACGGGGGCGCCCAGGCTGGCGCTCCGGGGGCGATGGGGCCGCGGGGGCCCTGCCGGGCGCGGGGGCCGGGCTCAGCCCCCCTCCAGACCGGCTCGGCCTGGGCAGCTGGGCCGAGGCCTCGGTTCGTGCCTACGGGCAATGGGCCGGTGGGTCGCCCGTTCCTCTCCCGCCAGCTGCAGCGCGCCACCGCTCTCTGCATCGCGGGGCTGCTGCCGGGGGCCGGAGAGCTTGGGGACCGTCCCTCTGGGGGGCCTCCCTGTGGGAGAGCTGCCTGCCCCCTGCCCTCCTCGGGGAATCTCTGCCTGCCCCCTGCCCTCGCCGCCCTCCCCGACCCCTGCCCGCATCCCGGCAGCCGCGGGGCGGGTCCGCGCTCCCCCCAGGGCGGGGCAGAGCCGCCGGCTCTCGCCACAAGCCCCCCCCCGTCCCGCTTACGGCAGGGCCTAAGGACGTCCTGGGAAGCGCTGCGTCCCTTTCGCCGCGTTCCTGCTCTAGAGGAGACCTGACGCGGCCGCCCTGCCCGCCCGGCGCCCCCTCGGCCCTCCCGCTGCATCCGCTCTCGGGCTGCCCGGCGCGGGTCCGGGGCGCGCCTGCTCGGGCCTCGGCGGGGAGGGGAGATGCCGGGGCACGGGCCCACCGCACCCAGCGCCGCTCGCCTGGCTGGGCTGCCCGGCCGCCGGGCCGCCGGGGGCGCTTCCCAGCCGCAGGCGCCGCGGACGCTGCTGGGGAAGGGGGCGTCGGGCCCGCCTTGCCCTGCCCGGCCGGGTCGCATCGGCGGGCGAGCAGAGCCCCCTGCTGGCGGCCCTGGGGATCGCAGAGCCCCCGCCCGCCCTTCTCCGGCTCGGCTGCGACGGGCGCCCGCGAAGCCGCCGCCCCGGGAAAGGGCCCCCCCCGCCTGCTCTGCGCCTTCGTGGGCTTCCGTGGGCATTTTGGCGTGTCCAGGCTGCTGCCGCGGCTGGGCTGTGCGGTGCACCGGCCCTGAAGGGTCCTGTGAGGTGCGATTTCTGAACCCGAAGCCAGGAAGGTGGCTCTGCGAGAGACAGTGGAATCCCAGGATCGCAGAGCAGGGGGGGCCGGAGGGCGAGGGCTGCCCGGCTGCCTCTTGGATGCCTCCGGGGGCCGAGCCCACCCCTCCCTTCCGCTCTTGTTGCTGCTGTTAGTCGGAAGTCGCGACCGACCCATCGCCCCCCCATGGACAGCATTCCTCCAGGCCCCCCTGTCCTCCACCTTCCCCCTGAGCCCCCTCAAGCTCGCACCAACTGCCTCAGTGACCCCATCCAGCCACCTCCTCCTCTGCCGTCCCCTTCTTCTCTTGCGTCAATTGTTCCCAGCATCAGGCTCTTCTCCAGGGAGTCCTTCCTTCTCATTAGGTGGCCAAAGTGTTTGAGTTTCATCTTCAGGATCCGGCCTTCTAAAGAGCAGTCAGGGTTGATCTCCTCTAGGACTGACCGGTTTGGTCGCCTTGCGGTCCAAGGGACTCTCAGAAATCTTTTCCAGCACCACAATGCAAAGGCCTCAATTCTTTGGCGCTCACCCTTCCTTATGGTCCAGCTCTCACAGCCATACATTGCAACTGGGAAAACCACAGCCTTGACTGTACACACTTTTGTTGGCAGGGTGACGCCTCTGCTTTTTAGTATGCTGTCTGGATTTGCCATAGCCTTCCTCCCCAGGAGCAAGTGTCTTTTAATTTCTTGGCTGCAGTCCCTGTCTGCGGTGATCTTGGAGCCCAGGGAAATAAAATCTGTCACTACCTCCACATTTCTTCCCCATCTATTTGCCAGGAAGTGAGAGGACCGGATGCCATGATCTAAGTTTTCTTAATGTTGAGTTTCAAGCCAACTTTTGCACTCTTCCCCCTTCACCCGCATCAAGAGGCTCTTTAGTTCCTCTTCACTTTCTGCCATGAGAGCTGCCACTTGGAGAAACCCTGCCTGCCCGCAGCCAGGCAGAGGTGGGGCACGACGGGTGGAGCGGCCCTGCCTGCAAATGCTGGGCTGGTGCCAAGGCGGCCTCTTCAAAAAGCCCCAGTCCTGCCATGCATGCCAGCCCTTGGGGTACGTTTGGGCCCAAGCATAAGCAGGAGAATTTCTCACCTTCCAGAAAAGTCACTCCCCCCCCCCCAAAAGGTGAGGGTAGCACTTGCCCGTCCCAAATCACTGCTTTTTGGTTTGTGGTTATCCTGACCCCCCTCCCGGAGCAGCCACGGAGCCTGCAGCCTCCTGGGGCTTCGCCATGTCAGGCAAGCGCTGGCCCCAGCGGTGCTGAGATCGTGTTCCCCCCCCCCCCCGCCCAGGGCCCCCCCCATTTAGCCTTAACGGCGCAGCAGGAAGCTCTTGCTTGGGGGAGCGTCCTAGAGGAAGCCCCCAGGCCCAATTCGTGGCAACTGGCCACAAAGGGTGGCCCTCCGGGTCCAGGCGACGCCAGGTGTGGTGGGCGCAGGAGTGGGGGGCACGTGCGGGGGGAGCAGCAGTCACTCAAGCCAGCCAGCCAAGGAGGGGTGAGTGGCAAGGTTACGGAAGAACTTCGGAGGGGCCTCGCTGGGTCCAGCCCATGGCCAGCCCGGCCCAGCCCCACATTCACAGGGTGGCGAGCCGGCTGCCCACAGGGCCCCCCAGCAGGAAGGGGGCAAGAACTCCCCAGCCCCCGGGACATGCAGGCTGAGTGAACTGGAAAACAAAACGATTGCTTTTAATTCCCCAGCGTTTGCTGGGAAAAAATGTACTTTTCTTCTCCATTGCAGCGGCCAAATGCTCCCACTGTGGAGGAGCCAGCGCAATGAGCCAGGTGCCCGTGGCCGTGCGGGGTCTCGGGTCAGGCAGGGGCTTGGTGCAGTGGGGGGCTTCCCCGCCAGCCCACACAGCCCCCCTCCAGCAGAGAGCTGTGCGCCAGGCGGTGGCGAGGCCGCCCTCTGCTGGCCACAGGCGCTTCGGCAGCAGCCGCCTGGGCGGCTCTCGCACAAGGCGAGGCCGGCAGCCAGGCAAACGGCAGCCCTTGAGCGGCCCCCAGGCTGCAGGGGCGCAGGGGCAGCGCTCTGGACTGCCAGCCCTGAGCTGGGCAGTCTGCAACGCCTGGAGCGGCCCACGGGGCCCTGTGCGTTGCCCCGTCAATCCGCGCAAGGGCCGGGTGAGGCGGCGCTCTTGCTGCAGCTCTTCTCCCAGTTTGCGGAATGAGAGGTGGGGCTGCTCACCGCAAGGGGCAAACATGGAGCGTGCCCCCGCACCCCAGGCTGACGCTCCCGGCCAGCCCTGCGAGCGGCTCGGCCGGCCAGACCCAGCAGCCCATCCCCGCGGCCGTGCGGTGTGCGAGCCGCAGCCTTGCGCTCCCGTCCCCGTCCAACGCCGGACGGCGGAGGGCTCTGGCGCTGCAGAGCGTGCGGCCTCCGAGTGAACATTCTCTTTCCTGTTTTCTATAAACTGGATTTTATTCTGATGCAAAACTTTCAAGATAAAAAATAAATAACATTTCAATTCTACTATTTTAGATATTAATCTATTTCTATGCAAATAAATATCAGAATTGCCATCTTTTCATGTTGCCTTTTAAAAATAAATGAAGGAAGCACTGTGAGCGGCCTGGGCCGCCGCGTTTCGCCTGGCCTGAAGAACCTGCGACCCGCTGGTGACGACCTGGGCAGGGGGCGGGAGCCTGCCCCCTCCCCAAAGCCAGAGCACGATCCGGCAGGGCAGCGCCAGGCCCACCCGGGGCCGGAGGGCCTTCCTCCTGGATCAGGGCCGGGGCTTGCAGCCCTACTGGGACTGGCCGCATCCCTCCCCCTCAGCTGCTCACGGCCCAGCCCTGCTTCCTCCCTGGGGAGCCCAGGGCAGAGGGACCTGGCGAACTGGCGCATCGGCCCCTGCAGGACACACTGCCTTCTGGTTTTGCAACTGGCGCATCGGCCCCTGCAGGACACACTGCCTTCTGGTTTTGCAAGTCACAGAATTTATGCATGGCCTACACGTAACCCAGGCAGGGTGCCGTCAGATGCATGCGCCCCCAAGGGTACCCCACCATCTGGCTGCCCCCCCATTTCCCTTTTTGAAAAATTCACCCAAATGGATCCGTTTTGGTATTCTGACACCCGCAAAGCCACACAGTTTCCTCGGCCCAAACGGGGCGCTTCTCTGAGCAACGTTTGGGGGGCTTTGCTGGTCCCGGTCCGGGTCCCGATCCCAGCAGTGATGCAGACGAGCTCCAGGTGGCCTTTTCCTTTCCGCTCTGCTTTCACGAGGGCAGCTGTGGAGGGGAAGCAAAGCTGCGGGAGAGCTTTGCCACGGGGGAGGCCCTTCCCCACCCCAGAGAGCACCTCGGAGTTCGGCGTGCCGCCTCCCAGCCCAGCATCTGACTTCGCTGCCCACCCCCAAGAGTCAAGGGAACCACAAAGCTGGAGGAGCGCACACTCCTGGCAGCCGTCTGAAGACAGGCGAGGAAGGTGGCTTGGGCGAGGGCGTCCCCACAGCACTAGAGAAGAGACGGTGACTGCAGGGGGTGCCTGTCCACTGCCCCCGGCTTCCTGGGCAGCCTGTGCAGCACACGTGTCCCTCGGAACGGCCGTCTGCTTAAAAACGTGCCCCGTGAATGTGACAGCAGCCCCTAACCCCGGCAGATCCCACAGCCCCCCCACCTGCCAGTTTTGTCTGGGGAGCCGGTTGCTGACGCTGTGTGCCTGGGAGGGGGGGAGCCGCATCTGTGAGCGGGACGCCCCCGGAGCCTAGACCTCGATGTCCTCGTCGTCCTCGTCACTGTCCTGCCCTTCCGATCGCCGGGGGGGTGTCGCGGGCCTCACCCCCAGCTGCGAGAGCTTTGCCGCCTTGTGCTCCAGGCTCTGCTTCCGCCACTTGATGCGCCGGTTTTGGAACCAGACTTTCACCTGTGCGGCAGGAGACAGAGGAGAAGGCCGTCACCAACGCAGCCTGCGGGGCTGCCCAGCCGCTGTGCCCCCGGCTGCCGGGACCCCTCCTCGGGCTTGGCCACACCGCCGTTCCTGCTCTGGGGGATCCCGCCTGTGCCGCTCCCCGCTGTGCCATCGTAAGGTAACCCGTCCTGCTGTGAGGGCATGCAGAGGGCAAGTTTCTAGACCTCACTGTGTGGGGGAAGTGCAGGCTGCCACTGCTGACCAAGAGGTCCCCTGCACACATCCTGTTCTCGCACGGCTCCCCGTGGGGCTTCAGTGGGGCTCGTGTGGGAGGGATTTTTCCAAGCAGACAGAACAAGACAGCACTGGTGGAGTACAAACCTTCAGGCCTGGCTGGTGGGGGGGGGGCAGGAAATGCAAAGGGCTTGCCCTGTGCTGGGTGCCAGTCCAGAACGCCCGTCGGTTCCTTGAGGGGGAGGGGAGGCCTGAGGCAAGCTGGCAAGAGGCGCCCCTGGTGCACGAAGGTGCGTCCGTGCGCTCACATGCCTTCGCCCCCTCGCCCCACTCCGGAGCAGGCGGAGTGATGGGCGCCCAGCCAGGATTCGTAAGCCCTGCCAGGCCTGCCCCGGGTCTGGCTTCGCTCGCTCGGGGGACAGCCGAGGGACCCGGCCAGGCACGGACGCTCTGGCCACAGAAGTCGCCTTTGGCCCGTCTGATGAGACGTACGCTTTGGAGTGCATCTAATCCTTCCAGGCACAATGGCCAGAAAGGAGATTTTAAGGACTGGGCCTGGGAGGAGCGGGAATACTGCGCTGAATGCCAAATTCCGCATACCTTACACGGCCTCGTGGGTCCCAGTGCCTGCAGGGCCTCAACTGCGCTGGGGAACCTTGGTCCACACAGCCCTAGTGGTGCTGGCACTGACTGGCAGCTGCCGCTCTCCAGGGATTCTTCCTCGCCTGCCCAGGATGCAGACGCAGTCGCGGCTCAGTCCTGAGCCTTCCACCGCAAAGCTGGGGCTCCCCTGTGGACTGCGCCCTCCGCAGCTTCGCCCCCCCCCCATCTGCCACCCCACAGATGCCAGCCCTGCTGCCCCAGGCCTTCTGCAGCACCGCCCGGCCACAGGGGCCACACCGAGTGGCTGGAATGCTTTTGCTCATCACAAGCAATCTCTCAAAGTAGATCCAATTCCAGTGTTTTTATGCTACTCTTTGGGGAAGTCGAGCGCCAAAGAACTGAGGCCTCTGAATTGTGGTGCTGGTGGAGACTCCTGCGAGTCCCTTGGACCACAAGGCGATCAAACCGGTCAGTCCTAGAGGAGATCAACCCCAACTGCTCTTTTGCAGGCCAGATGCTGAAGATGAAACTCAAATACTTTGGCCACCTAATGAGAAGGAAGGACTCCCTGGAGAAGAGCCTGATGCTGGGAAGGATTGAGGGCAAGAGAAGAAGGGGGCGGCAGAGGAGGAGGGGGCTGGATGAAGGCACTGAAGCAGTCGGCGTGAGCTTGGGGGGACTCTGGGGGATGGTGGAGGGCAGGAGGGCCTGGAGGAGTGCAGTCCATGGGGTCGCGATGGGGTGGATGCGACTTTGCGACCGGCAACAACAACAATGCTCCTCTTGGGCAAAAAGCTCCGGAAGCAGTTCACAACCAGCCAAGCAAGACAGCCCCCGCCTAGACTCACAACCTCACAAGACACCAGAAGAAGGGCAGGGGCGGCACGAGGAACGAGCGGAACACGCTCGCCTTTCCAGCAGGCCGCCACACAGCCGGCCTCCCGTCCCCGCTCGGTGCCGCAGCCGGCTGGCAAGGACAAGGGCAGCGGAGGCACAGGCCGGCGGATCAGCTCTGCCACGGCCTCGCCCCGAAAGGAAAGGGGCAGGCCGTCTGCGCCTCCCCACGGCCTCTGCCCCAGGGGCCGTGCAGCGCTGGGCGTGGGCTCGTGGGCCGCTGCTCACCTGGGTCTCTGTGAGGTGCAGGGTGGCGGCCAGGTCCACGCGCTCGGTGCCCACCATGTACTGCTGCTTGAGGAACTCCTTCTCCAGGCGCTCCAGCTGATCCGGGGTAAAGACGGTGCGGACGCGCTTCATCTTGCAGGGGCCCCCAGACCGCCACGCGAAGGGGCCCCCCAGGGGAGTGGCACCGGCGCAGTGGGACACCTCCAGTCCTGGCAGAACACAGAAGGCCTCGTCAGACGCAGCCCAGAGGGTGCAGCCCCAGCCAAAGGGGCCCAAGCTGCAGATGGCAAGGCGGCCTTCGACTGGGAACCCTCCGGAGCGTGGGGGCATTAATTGCCCGCAGCCCCAGCAGGCTGGCCAGTGGCCGGGCGGGGGGGGCAGAGCCTTGGGCGTGCCGAAGTTCAGCGGCCCTGGTTCAAAATGCAAATGCCGAAGAGCCTTGCGGGAACAGCCTTTGTCCTGCTGTCCAGCTCGGCACGTAAATACGCAGGCCGCTGCCGGGAAATCCGCCCAGCACAACCAGGTTTGGCTTCCAAAGGGAAGCTCCTCAGAGAAGGGGAGTTAAAAGATCAAGCACATCAGACGTCTCCAAGACACCTGGAGGCTCTTTAGGCCACCCTGAAGTGTGGCTGGAATCTCCCCCTGGGAAGGCACCCACCCCCCACAAGGATGCCAGCATGGCATCGCAGCGGGGACGAAGGATGCCCCAGTGGCTCCTGTAGTATGTTTGCTGTGTGTTTCTTGTCTGTTTCGACTGCCTGTTGCAAACTGCCCAGCGCACACAGGCCGTGGGGCAGCACGGGAATGAAATAAATGATACAGGTGCAATACAGGCTTCCTGCAGCAGGTGTGGGGAGCCTCTTACCCCAGGGGTTCCCCGTCTGGTCCCATCTAGGGTGCAACTGCTCCAAACACAGAAACAGAGCGAGACAGAAGGGGCCTCCCGGGCCATCTAGTCTGACCTCCGGCACCAGCCGGCTCCGCAAAAGAGGCAAAGTGCGTTCAGGGGGAGGAACGGGGAGGAGGCCTGCCACGGCCGGAGCACCTTCCCCCCGCTGTGAGCACAGCTGGCGCTCCAGCCTCTGGGAGCCTGGAACAGCCCTCGCGGGCCCTGCGTTGGGACAGCGGGCGGGCCGGCCCCGCGGGAGTCTTTCTTCCCCGCTCTTAGGGAAGCAGCTCCCACAGGGCCCAGGACACTTCCAGGCAGGGCGTGCAGCAAGATGGCCACAGAGACGAGCTGGAGAACTAGGAGATCCCACTGCAAAATCCGGGCTTCCAAACTCACCCCGCTTGCCAGTGCATCCCTTTGCAAACCCCCTTCGCAGCTTCTGAAAAATGTTCGCCCACATTTTACAAGTACAAACATAGGGCACGATCCACGCACAAGGCTGGACTCCTGGAGCACTTACTGGCGAAGAAGCCTCATGCAAAGCAAGCAGACTAACTTCCAGGTAGCAGAACCCCCTTTGAATCCCACAGGTTCCAGCAGGCACATAAAGCACACGCTCACTTTCAGGCCAATACCTGCAGACCGACTCTGACGTGACTGCTCAGCCACGCTGTCCACCTAGGCACAAGCCCGGCATGGGGAAGCTCTCTGAAAGGGGGCGCCGTGGGGGACCGGTGGATGCATGGAGCCCTCAACTCCCGGCCTGCCCCAGGTCGCAGGCCCTGGGTCTTACTCTGCCTCAGCACCCACAGGATGGTGCCCCTAACGATTTATAAATTCCTCAAACGTGTTAAAATGAGAATTCAATTCTCCAAATGCATCGTACGTGCCATCCCTTACAGAGGCACTCAAGCCCAAGGGGATCATAAAGATGTCGAGCTGCCCAGAAAGCTCCCAAGGAGGGGCAGGCCGTGTTGCAGACGAGCCCCACAAATCTGCCTTATGGCTGGAACCTCCCAGCACGGCTGAGACGCAACACAGCACCTGTGCAGCACTAATTTTTACAACGTGGTCACGGCAGGGGCAGATCTGGGGAATCAAAGGCCGGCGAGCTTAACGTCTGTTCTGGGTAAATCGACTGAAGGAAGCGTTGCTAAAGATAGCATCAGCACGCACACAGAGAGACAAGCTCTGCCGGAGCAGAATCAGCATGGCTTCCACAAGGGGAAGTCCAGTCCCGTTAACCTGTGGAGTTCTTTGAGTGTCAATGAGCGCATGGACGAGGCGATCCTGCACATGTGGTTTACCTCACCTTCCAAAAGGCTTTTGACAAAGTCCCTCACCAAAAGTCCCCCAGCAAATTTAGCAATTGTGGGTAAGAGGGAAGGACCAGTTTTGGAGCAGCAACTGATTAAAGAAGAAAAAGCAGACTAGGAATAAATGGTAATTTCTCCTGACGGAGGGTTGTGGGTAACCTGCAGGGTCCCACAGGGATCTGTATTAAGAACAATGCTTTTTCACGTATTCCTAAAGGATGTGGCTTTATTTATGTATGGTATTTAAATCCCGCCTTTCGCGTCAGTCCCGCTTGGTGAGGTCAGTTGGGCTGAGAGCCTGTAAGTGGCCTGTATCCCCACAGCGAGCTTCATGGCTGAGCGGGGCCTGGGCCCCCAGCCACCGGGACCCCACCCCACACTGCGCTGGGCTGCATTAGGAGCCAGAAGTGAGGGGCAGTCTCCTGGTGACACGAAACGGTCAGGGTGGCTAAAACTGGAAGGGGTTGTGAGGGAGTCCAAGGATCTCCCCGTGCTGCCAAAAGGGGCACCCAGTGCCAAAGGGGCTTCGGGGCAAGCAAGCGCAAAGCCATGCCTGTCAGGGCAAGAGAAATCCCACCCACACGCATCGGCTGGGGGGCTCTGTGCTGGCAGTGCCCGGGCAAGAGGCGGCCAGCGGGTGAGGACGCCGGCCCGGCACACAGGCGCCAGGGAAGGCGCTCTGCGCCAGGCACGCTTGGAAGCAGAACTGATCACCGTCCTGCTGGGGGAAGCCTGCGGGCAGCTGGTCGGCCACTCTCCGGACACGGCCTGAGCCAGCCTGGCCTTCTGCAGCCCTTCCCTGCACTCGCATCCCCCGAGGGATGCAAGCCACGCTGCCTGGCGCTTTTGTGGGAAGCAGGCGAGAGAGAGCCCGCCGCATACGTGCGGCAAGGAGGCCGGGCACCGCAGCGCAGGACACGCAGCACTTCCGGAACGGCTAAAGCCGGGGCCATTTTTCCCGCAGAAAATGTGTCAATGAAAAAGGGAGGCTTTTGCTACCGCTGCACCTCATGCCCCTCTGCGCTCACTCTGTTGCTTCGGGCAGCCCCCCACCCCCGTGCCCTGCTGCGCTCCAGGCGCCCAGAGCACTCCCTGCCCAGCCTCAAGCAGCCCATGCTTGGAAAAGCGTGGACCTGTAGTCCAAAACCAGCAGCTTCCATGTTCCCCAGCTGTGTAACTTGGCAGCCTCATAACTGTCATCAAATTGTTTAAAGTAGGCAGTTTGGAGCCACTGTCGAAATAAAGGATATTGTTTAATGTAATATACAAGGCACAATAAGTTTATGAGCAAACCAAGTTATAGCGAGGAAATGTTCTTGCTTTCTGGCTGGCTGGAGGGAATCCAGCAAGTGGTCCCTGAAACAGCAGCCAGGAAGCAGGAAGAGCTGGAGGCGGGGGGCAGGTGCGCAGCATCCGTTGGGTGGGACGGCGGGGGGCCGAGGGAAATCCAGCAGCAAGAGAAGCAGCCGGTGCCATTCAGCGGGCAAAACCCCGTTTCAGGAACACTCCGCAGCCCGACTGAATCCAACCCATCTTCTGAATGGCGAGGCTTGGTCGGCTCCTGCACAGCGCTTGCCACGGCACTTTCCGCCGCGCCGGCCCGGCCCAGGAGGCGGACCACTGAGAGCCTGCGGCCGGGGGTCGGTGCCGCTGAAGGCGCGACGCCTGGGGCAGCGTGTCCGGGCAGGGGGCCTACGGCGCCGGCAGTGCGTGCCTCTGGCCCACGCAGAGCCTCCGAAGGAGGAAGGGTGCGGAGGCGCAGCTGAGCGCATCGCCTGCCCCCAAAGGGACCGCCCCGCCCGCGAGCGGCCCTCCACGCCAGGCCCCCTGCCGGCCTCCGGCTGCGCTTGCGAGCGGGCCGCTCGCCCGCTCCAGGGCCACGTCGCGCGCTCAGGCCTGCTTACCGTCGCCCGGTCTCCGCCACACGAGCCGGTCCGCAGAGGCGCGCTGCCTGCCTGGTCCGGAGGGCGGCGGGCCGGCCCCGCATCGCCTGCGCCTCGACGCGCTCCGGCCGCCCGGCTCGCTCGGGGAAGGAGCCCGCGCGCAGGGGGCAGCCCTGGCCGGCCGCGTCTTTTCCGCCTCCGCGCCCCAAACGGTGCCTACCTGAGCCGGAGCCCACGCCCACGCCCACGCCGCGCGGCCGCCACAGACGCGCGGAGGGCCGGAACGGCCGCCTGTTCCCTTCTTGCCCGCGGAACGCGGTCCGCACGCAGGAAGCTGAGCGCGACGGGGCTCCCGGGCGCCTCCCGAGAAGCGGGCGGCGCGGTAACGCCGAAGTCCCGGGAAAGACGCCCGCGCAGGGCAGAATCAGGTGCAGAAAAGCTCCCCGGAGGCTGCCGAGCGCCCCCGCGGCACTGGGGAGCTCCGAAGGGGGTCGCCTCCAGCCTTCCCTCCGGGGCTCGTTTTGGCTCCGTTCCACTTCCTCGGGGACGGCGGCGCGCGACGCCTCGTTCCCCGCACCGGCGGGAAGCGGCCACGGTGCGAGGCCACAAAGATGCCCTGGCGCCTCCGCCGCCGCGCCCCCCGCCGCCCGCGCTCTCACCTGGCCTCGTGCAGCCCGGGCGGGCGCAGGCGCGCGGCGCCGGCGAGAGGAGCGCGGGCGGCGGCGGCTCCGCCAGGTAGACGGCCGGGAACGGCAGCGCGCCCGCGGCGCAACCGAAGCGCAGGACGGGCGTCGAGGGGGCGGCGCCGGGCCAGGCGCCGAGCACGTGCGGGAGCCGTCGGGGCGGCTCGCTGGCGGCCAGCAGGGACTCGAT